CCCCTGGGACTCGCCTTCAATCCAGGCCTCGATCTGCTGTCTGGTTTCCTTGCTGCTTCTTGGTCAGGGTCAGGGTCAGGGTTAGGTTAGGATTAAACCCTGGCGCTCCACCACTCGGCCACGGGCCCAGTCTTCAAATTTTTTATTTTGGGTCAAAGTCTCACTAAGTTGCTTAGGGCCTCCTAAGTCACTGAGGCTGGCCTCCAACTTGCCATCTTCGTGCATCAGCCTCTGGAGTGGCTGGGATCACTGCGTCCGGCCCTTGCTGCTTGCTCTGAAGGCCGGCGACCTTCCTCTCTGGGCTCCGGGGTGGACCGAAGGCTTCCCTGTGGTGGTCATGAAGTGGCTCGGGGTGCCCTCAACATCAGCGCCCACGCCACAGGGACGTCGCCCTGTTCACTGCAGCCACTTCTTGCTTGGGGCTTCCCCTTAGGACTCGTCCCTTAAGACTGGAGCCCAGGCCCCAGCAAGGCCTGCTCAGAAAGAGTGAGGGAATAAACGCTGGGTCCTCCTCGGGTCAGAGCCAATGTCACAGACCCCGGAGAGCCGCAGGCTCATCCTGCCACGTAGTATGAGCAAGGTGACCACGAGACCCCCTCCGGCTGGTGGAGTCGGGGCTCTTGGGGTCAAAGTGGCCCTGCTGTCCCAGTGGCCAGGCTCCTCTGACGATGCTGTTGGCCCCCACGTCTGTTCCTGCCATGGCAGAGCGACTGTGACCTGCAGGAAGATGGGCTGGGTGGGGCGTGGTTAGGTGGCCCTCCATGCCAGCCCTGAGGACAGAGGCCCTCGGCTCCAGCTAGGGCAGGAGTGACACCCCCTGCGCCCAGCAGCACCCAGCCCAGTGGGGAGACTGGGCCCAACACCCTCCAGAACCTCCGTTGATTGGGGGGGATGTGCTGTGGGGACAAAGTAGGTGTCACAGTTCCCTTGTCACAGCCAAGGAGCTCAGAGAGGCCAAGCCACTTGCTCCAAATCATACAGCTGAAAGTGCAGAACTGGAATCCTGGCCCGACTGACCGCAGCGAAAGCCTCGCACACCCCCGGGCCTGGGCGCTCACCACCCACTCGGGACAGCAGTCCCACAGAGGCTCCCGGGATCGTTAAGGAAAAGGGAGACACAGGAAACCCGAGGATGTGGCTGCCCGGCCGCCCCCTGTGCAGACGCCCTGCTCCTTCCTCCCAAGGCTCCGACCTCCCCAGCCGCCGGGCAGGCCCTGGTCCCCAGGGTTGGCAGTCTCCCCAGAAGCCCCACGACAGTCGGTGCTGGCTGCTGTCCTCTGGGGCAGGTGGAAGTCTGACCCCCTCCCTGCTCCAGGAGTCTGGCCTGGGTGACTCCCCAGGGCCTCTCCACGGGTAGAGGGAAGTGTTACTGGAAACCTGCCCAGCTCTCGGGGTTGCTGGGGGATCGATGAGACCATGTGTCGAAGGACTTTGTAAACAGCGTGGCCCTGGACAAATATTAGCTCCCACAACAGAGCTGGATGGGCCTGTCTGCTCCTGCCCAAGTGGGGCAGGGCAGGTCACCGCCCGGCGCCCCCACTGCGACTTGGTGTGTCTGACATGCCCAGGACCTCCGTGTCCTCGCTTGTGGAATGGGGACAACAGCAGACCTGCCGCCTCCCTGGACCCGGGGTGCGGATCAAATGCACCATGAAGCCACCGAGTGGTGCTCTGGCCGTGTGGCCCCGAGACCTGCTCGCCGTGCGGTTGTGCCTGGTCAGGGACGGGCTCCCTTTGTTCCCTCGATCTGTACCTTTCTCCTGGAAGTTTCCAGCTCTGCAGCTGCCGTCCTGGGTTCAAGCCCCAGCTCTGCTGCTCAACGCTGTGTGACCTCAGGCCTGAGATGAGCCTCTCTGAACCGCCTTTGTGTTTCCCAGTGCCCAGTACCTGGAGGTGCCCAGCAGTAGCAGAGCCGTGGGAGCCCCTGGTTGAGGAAAAGGCCAAAGAGGGACAGAAAAGAGAAGGGAGGTAGCAAGAGGCAAGAGGAGTCACTCTGAGGTTCTGGGATTCCCAGGGGAGAGAGAAATGGAGGAGTTCATCGGGGTCTGATTCAGTGTGAGGACCCTCAAAGCCACCCACAGGGGGTTGAGGAGAGACCCAGGGGGGGCCGCAGTGCCCAATGCAGTGAGCAGCTGACCCCGGCCTGTTGGCAAGCCAGGCCTGCGGTCACCCTGCCTGCTCCACGTGGCGCATGGCGCTCAGGTGGGGAAACTGAGGCTCAGAGGGCAGGCGCCTCTCCTGGGACACCCTGTCCAGCCACTGGGGACACCGTGGGGCGTCGAGGGGGCTCCTAGGACACCACGGGCATCCTGCTGCCCGTCGTGGTGTCTCACTGTGTCAGCAGCAGGGACAGCGCCCGGCCAGGGCCTCCCTGGAGGCCAGGGGAGCCCAGGTGCAGCTTGGAGCGCTCCAGCGGGAAGGGAGGGGGGCGATGTCGGTTCCCGTCAGGTTCTGCTGAGCCCAGGCCCCCGCCACTCGCCCATAACAAGAGACGCCCGGCTGTTCACAGGAGCCCACGGCCCGTCCTGTGCGTTTCACCCTGAGAGCGAGAAGCGCCCGAAAACAGGCCGCCGGGGCCTGGCACCCAGGGCACGGAGAGGTAGACTCTGGTGCCAGTGGGCAAGGGGCGGGCGCAGGCTTCCAGCAGCTATTTCTCGGGGGCTGAAGTCCAGTCTCCCTGGGCGCCTGCGCCCCCCACGGCCCCCCGGGGCCCCCTGCCACACAGCCCAATGTGGCCCGGTGCTTGGCACGCTCCGCAGCCTCCCGAGCCCGAGGCCCAGCAGGACACAAGGCGGGTCCAGGCCCCGGACCGTCCCGAGGCTCTTCCCTTCCAGCACCCCTCTGACCGGTGCCCCTTGGGCCGACTTTGGACACTATCTGTTTTTATTTTCTCCGAGGTCTCCAAAGACAACTCAGTAACTCTGTTCCCAATAACCACCTGCAGGTAAACAGGCAACGGGAAGAAAGTCCACCTTTGCCCCCACAATCACCCCATCCGCAAACTCTCCGACTCAGCAAAATCCAGATAAGGGGTCAGGGCCAGCGGGGGAGGGGGGCAGGTCTGCAGGAAACCAGGCCAGGGTCCAGGGAGGCTGCCCCTCCCGGGCTGGGCTCTCCTTCAAGACCTGCAAGGCCTCCCCAAGACTCAGCCTCACCCCCGCCAGCCTGGACACTCCATGGGAGAGCCCCTGCTCCTGGGGGCGTCTCTGCCCCTCCCAGACCCCTGAGGTGTGGTGGACCTGGGCCGTGGAGACCTGAGGCGCTGCCGGGCAGGCCGGTGATCAGGAGGCGTCCATGCCACTGCATGCCTGCCAGCTCCCGTGGGCTCCCGTGGGCTCCCGTGGGCTCCCGCGGTGTGCCGACGCCCGTGCAGGCCTGGGGTGGAGAGGTACACCTTCAAAGTGTCGGGGTTTGGTCATAAGCCACGGCTAGAACAGAGAACCACCGAGGGATGTCTCCCTCCCAGGTCACACAGTAGGGACAGAAGCCTGCAGGGGAGCTGAGGCCCCTCTCCTGGGCACTGTCATCTTGCCCCAAGGGTCACGGCCACCCGCGTGCCAGGAGGACAGGATCACTCTTAGTAAGACAGGCTCCACGGGAGCCGGTGCCTGGCAGGAGCTCCCCAAGCCTGTGGGGACTGAGCCCGGGGCAGCCTGCACCCTCCAAGGTGCAAAGAAAGTGTGACTCCTCATTCAAAACAGACCAGGAACTTCACACCAGGGACAAGAGAGCATTCAAACACCAGGCTGCTTCCCTGGGCAAAGGTCTGGGCCCTGGAGCCCGGGGAGGACGGAAGAGGCAGGATGGAGCTCAGGCCTGGCTGCGCTCAGCGGCCCTGGAGACCCTGGCCCTGGGCTCAGCCAGCGACCTCCTCCCTGGCCCCGGTGCCGCCAGCCCTTCCCACCCACCCGCCTCTGCCTCCCCTGCGGGCTGTGGCTTCCCGTCATTCACCACTCCCAGGTAGGCCTGCATCCAGGACCCGGAGGAGGGGCACCTAAAATTTGGAGAACACCAAGGCGCGTCCTGTGCTCCTGTGGCGCTTTTAAGAATCAAAATTCATGAAAAATATAAGAAACAAATTTGTTTTAAAAGCAACAAAACCTTAAGACAGCAGGGCAGCCCCGATCTCCCCTCTCCCTCCTGCACTGGGCTCTGAGCTGGCACGCGCCCCTGTGCCCCGGCCTTTGTTTAAAACGTTAACCTTCTGCTCGTCCTGACTCTTCTGCGTTCATTTTGACTTTTAGAAGTTGAATCAGACTATCATTTCTTGGTTGGTGAGGTGAGCTTCTTGCTTCCCCTTGAAGTTTGCACCCCCCCCCCACTGGACCCAGCCCTGGTGGCACCTGCAGCCCCCAGTCAATGGTGGCAGAGAGGAGGCTGAGGCAACAGTGACACAACGTCACAGTGGTGTGACTGTGTGTGTCCCCAGGTCTGTGGGCCACGTGCTGTGTGCTGAATTGGAATCCCAGGCTGCGTGCGAGCCTCCTGCAGGCACAGAGGCACCCCCGGGTACAGGGAAGTAAGAGCAGACAGTGTGCCCCACTCTCTCAGCCCGTTTTTTGGGTGGGGAAACTGAGGCTCAGTCTTGAGGCAGCTTGTCCAGAGCCCCTCAGCCGGGAAGCGGCAGATCTGGGGTCCTAGCAGGACCAGCTGGACCGGGGGTGCCGAGGCGTGCAGTGGGGTCCAGGTGGAGGGAGGGACCTGGGGTGTGTTCTCCTATTAAAGGGGCGATGGGTTAAGTGGACTCGGCAGAGCTGTCTGGGGCTCCTGGGAAACAGCCAGGTGGGTTCCTCCAGGGGACAAGGTCCTTCCCTCAGGACTGAGTCTCAGTCCAGGCTCCTGGGATGGCCTGGGGGAGGGCCACCCACTGCCCCCTGGCGGAGGCCCAGCAGGGGCCCTTTAAGCCGGCCCAGGGGCAAGTTCGTTCACCAGGGCCCCTGCTGACTCACGCTTATGAAAGTGGTTTTCCCGGCCCCGCCCACCTCCCGGACCGCCTCCTCCCGCCCGGTGAAATACCCTGGCTTCCCCCTGGCCGCACAGCCTCTGGAGCCCAGGGTGGTGATGGGCCTGCAGCTTCCTCGGTGAGCGCGGTGACCCCAGCCCTCCCAGCGTCTGTCCTCCCGGGCCCCCGTTTCCCTCCACCCACGACCGCCAGGTGAGTGGCCTGGGCCAGGCTTGGGGTGGGCCCTCCTGGTGCAGGGGGCAGGGGTGGCCAGCCTCAAGGAGCCAGGCAGAGTCCCAGGCAGAGTCCCAGATGGCCCAGAGCAGAGGCCCGGTGTGATTCTCCCCAGCAGGGGGCCCCGGCTCCTCGGGCCATGCCCATGGCCAGGTACCTGGCCCCCCCCCGCCCAACAGCTGCCAGGGCCCCGGCCCACTCCAGCCATCCCAGCCCAGTCTCTGCTCTTGGCACGAAAGAGGCGTGGCCAGCTGGCTTGCTGCGGAGTCCCGGGGCCAGGCTAGTGCCGCCCTGGGGTCCCCACCTCTGCCGGTCAGGTGCGGTAGAGCCATGGAGACCCAGGGACTTGGCTTCTCACTGAGATGACGCTGGGAGAGGGGGTGGGCCCAAGGGAGGCGCTCGGCTGGCGGGGTGAGGGCTCCGGTAATGGAGCACAGGTAGCACTTGGGGACAGTGTACCTCCTCATCCTCACCCCCAGGATCTCATGTCCCTTTCTTGATGTCACTATTACCTGCGGCTTTGCTGAAGAGGGGACTCGTCCTCACTTGGGCAGGGTCAAGGGGCAGAACTGGACGTGTGTGTGGGCATTCCTGGTGACCTGGGCCAGGCCACCTCCTCCTGCCTCAGTCCCTTGCTCTGTGGGGTGGGGCTGAGGAAACCCAGTGCAGGTGCTGTCAAAGTCAAAGGGGCCAAGGGCCACCAGAGGATCCCAAAATGCAGCCGCACCGGGTCCCAGAGTCCCGTGCCCCGAGGTACCAACGCTGCAAACAGAAACATGGTTTGAGGAACAACTATTTCCATTCCTCTTATACTAATCTGCTTTTCGTGAAATTTAAATAATCAACTTTTAGAGTTCACTGTTCCCATCCAAATCTGCCATCTTGAGCCAGAGGGACGAAGATAGTATTAAAAGTGGATCGTTCCAACGCCACAACCAAGGAGCACAAAAGGGGCTGGGACAGTTGACACCTGAAGGTCCCTTGTCAGCCTGCAGCACGGAGCTGTGCAAGGGTGTGAGTGAGGGCTTTGCTCCGCTCCGGACTTTGGGACATCCTGTATCATCTGAACAGGAAGTGACCTCTGGGTCCAGCCCCTGGGTGGTGACCTCATGTGTGTGGCATCCAGAAGCTTCTGTTCAGGCGCCTGGCAGTAATCAGCGCCTCTGGCCCTGCGAAGGGAGAGGAGGGAAGCAGGTCCCTTGTCCTCCGGGAATGGGGACTCCTGCCAGCGCCTGCCTGCGGAGCACAGAATCCCAGAGAAGTGGGGGTGGCTGGGGGCGCAGGCTGGCGCACGCATCTGGGGGCCCCGGAGCCTGCTTCCTCTTCTGAGAAGGGAGTTAAAGGGGGTGAGGGGTAGGAAGCGCTCTCTGTTGCTGGTGCTCCGGGGACAGTGAAGACAGGCGGGAGGAACCCCGGGGCCATTGGCAGAGGCCCTGAGCGAGGGGGACCATGCCCTCTGGGAACTGCAGCCCGGGTCTCCAAGGCTCTGGACACACCTGGTGCTGGTGGCTGGAGAGAAGCTGTCCCTCAGAGCAGAAATCTGGGAGCTTCGACAGCCCAGCACTGAGCGTCCCTCCCTGCAGCAGGCACTGGGCAGCGCCGCAGGGCAACAGGGACAGAGAGCACCTGCCAGACTGAGGGCTCTCTGGCGAGAGCCAGCCCGCTGCGGGGAACACCCAGAGGCTGTGGATCGGCCGCCTGGCTCAAATCCAGCTGAGCCCGTGAGAGCTGCGGCACCCTCCTCTCGCAAACTGTAATGGGCCGTGAGAAGCTCCCCGGGCCTCAGTTTCCCCATCTGTCACATGGGCGTGATTGTAAGAGGACCTGACCACACTCCAAACAGAGACTCAGTCGGGCTGGGCCTGCCTGGCGCGAGCTCCCGGGTTCCAGCCCCGGAGGCGCACACACAAGGTCCAATCCGTGAACATGTACGGGTGGGGGCAGGCTCGGCGCCCCACCAACTCCACGCGGTATAGAAATGCTAGTTGTTTGTAATAATTACCATCACCATCACCGGGGGTGCCGCCCCCAAATCTTCTCCCTGTGCTGGAGACAGCACAGGGCCTCCGTATGGAAAAGGCCACTTCTGTCCTGGGAGAGGCAAGAGGTCTCAGATTCTGGGGACACAGGGCCTACCTGGACGGGACAGGGAGGCTCTCTGGGCCCAAACCCAGCTGAGACCAAGCCCATTCTCAGGGACTGAGAGCCCCAAACCCGTGGCCAGCTACTGGGCATGTCCTCTTGCCTGCAAGGCCCACTGCTCAGGCTGCCAAGGGCACAGAGAGCTGTCACTTAGTGCAAGCTCCCTGCATACTGCATAGAACGGTGGGGTCAGGTGCTGTCACCATGGGGTGATGCCCAGCTCCTCTCCAGGTCAGCTTGCCCGTGGACATGGGTGTTCCTACGTGCTGCCCCTGGCTGTGCTCTGTGGGCTGGGAAGGGTTTACATGGGGCGTGTGGGTTGCCTGCTCTTCCTGACCAGAGAAGTCACCCAAACACCCGGATTTCTGCCTCCTCTGAAAGGGCTCTGCAGGCCCAGGCCCCACCACTCTGCGTGGCCCTGGCCCTGCACCTGCCCCGACTCTTCCCCCGACAGTGTGCAAGCCAAGGGTCCATCAGCCTGGCGGGCATCCTCCAGGGAGGGCCCAGGGGCCTGGGGCCACAGGCAGAGCCGCGGTGCCAGTTAGCGCTGGGTTTGAAAGCCAAGTCCACTGAGCGGCTTCTGCCACGTGCCGAGCCCCACTCCACAGCTGCGCGATGGGTTGATAACCGTGCTATCGGTCCCATGGGCGGGACGTGGAAAAGGGGAAATGCGTGGAAGGCCAAATGCCCACTTCCCTCACCCAGCTGGGTGGGCCTCCGGACGGCAGGGGTCTGGGCAGGCTGGGTGAGGCTGAGGCTGCAGCCGCTGCCCACTGGTTTGGGGGACTTGGGGCAGATGGTCTGAAGCCCCTGGGGTCCTGCAGCTCTCAGAACGGCTGGGGTCCTGTGAGTGGACAGAGGACCAGCAGGGGGCGCCGCTGCCCCAGCGACCCCGTTCTCCAGCCACACTACTCCAGGGCCCGGTCTCACTGGGTCCCGCAGCAGGCGGTAAGCTCCAGTGCAGCCTACCCAGGGCCTGAGCAGGCGCTCTGGTACCTTACCCTGCCGTTCCTCAGGGCCCTGAGCTGGGGACTCTCCTTCCCACTTTACAGATGGGAGACTGGGGCTCAGCGAGGTCTCGGATAGGCTCACTGTCACAGCTGGGAAGCAGCTCCCCAAAGCCCGTGACTCCGAATCCCACTGGGCTACGCTGAGGGCCTGGGAGGCCAGGGCGGGTGCTGGGCCTCGGGACAGAGACACGAGGCTTCCGCGGCTGTGGGCCTCGGGGAGAGGCAGCTGCGGGATGGCCAGGGCCTGTCCTGCGGCGACCTGTGGGTGAGGAGGGAAGGGAGAAGGGGAGTCGCCTGGCGAGGGGCCACCTCGTAGCTGAGAAGGGCCTGGGCGCCAGCCTGACCACCAGGTGGGCCGCCCTCTCTGCCTGCAGCCGGCTGCCCCAGCCATGAGCTCTTCAAGGAGGGACCACTTCAGCGCCAGCAGCTTGGAGCCCGTCCCTGTCGTCATCATTGGTGAGTGTCACCTGGCAGGGCGGGCACTCCCAGCACCGCGGCTGTCTTGAAGCCACCAAGTGCGTGCGGCAAGCTTCTGGGCACCATATAGACGCCCCCTGCGCCCTTGCTCCACGGGAGGCTGGGGCCACAGACACGGAACTATGGGGGCGGCCGAAACCTGTGCCACTGTCCTAGGTGCCCACACAGGGACACAGAGCCCTGGCACTTGGTTCCCATGACAGGGGATGGGAGATCAGGTTGAAGGAGGGGGATGTCCGCAGCCCCCAGGTTCCCGGCAGCATTCTGCCATCGGCCAATTAGAAGAGGCCGGAGAGACTGGGGCGGGGGGAGATGCCGAGAGCATCCATTCAGATCAGGGGGCCCCACCTGGGGTCTGTACCCCTCCTCAGGCCACCCCTGCAAGCTCACGCCCAGGGCGAGTAGCGGGCAGCGAGTGTGCTGCTCACTTCCTGATGCACCAGGCGGCTGCTCGAGTTCTCAGCGACCTCAGAAGCTCTCGCTCATCACAGGCTCCCTGATCGTTCTTGGGCTGGGTTTGAATCACAGCTCATCTACTTGAAAGCTGTGTAACCACAGGGAAGTTACCTACCCTCTCTGTGCCCCAAGTAGAAAATGAGAAAAAGGACGGCATTTCCGTCACTAAAGTCAGTGCCCGGTGGCAGCAGTGTTCAAAGCTGTGGGTATAATACCTGGTACACGGTCAGTGACTGCTCGGCTGCCCTCTCTGACCTATCCTGTCTCCACAGGCAACGGCCCCTCCGGCATCTGCTTGTCCTACCTGCTCTCGGGCCACATCCCCTATGTGAGACCAGATGCCGTCCACCCACACCCGCTGCTGCAGAGGAAGCTGGCGGAGGCTCCGGGGGTCTCCATCCTGGACCAGGTGGGCCAGGCCCGTGCGGCCAGGGCTGGGGGGCCCACGGTCTCAGGAGGACACCGCAGCTTTCCCAAGGAAAACCCAAGTGTGTGTGGGGGGGAAGGAGACCAGCGGCAGACACGGCGTCATGGCAGACAAGCCAGGGACAGCTGCAGGACCCACAGAGGCCACGTGAGCCGTCTGACCACAACTAGGCCGTGGCCCTCAGACAGGGAATGCTCCCTGGGAATGGTCGGCTGCGTCTGTGACTCGCCTCGTTGTCACAGCGGGGCGAGGCCAGAGACGCTGTGACACGTTCCAATGCTCAGTTCAGCCACGGAGAACTAGGCCCCACCCCGTGTCCAGCTGGGCCCCACTCTCCCTCCCCCCTGCACCTGCCCGCTTCAGGGCGGCTGCCCTCCTCCAGCCCTCTCCAGGCAGCCACCGCCCTCCAGGCCTCGCCCACCCCAACTTGGAGTTGAGGACAGGAGTGTGACCGCTGAGCGGGGTCCAGGTGTTTCAGAGTGCCCTCTCCAGGACACGAGTCCGGGAGAACTAGCCGGGCACACAGGTGCACACCTGGAGTCCCAGCTCCTGGGAGGCTGAGGCAAGAGGCTCACAAGTTCCAGGCCAGCTTCTGCAACTTGCCGATACCCTCGCTCAAAAAATATAAAGGGCCGGGGACGCAGCTCAGCAGTGGAGTGCCCCCGGGTTCAACCCCTGGAACCTCCAAATCGATCAGTCACCAGTCCCTTGATGTCGTTCATGGGTGGAGAAGATGGTCTCACTCCGGGGGACCCGAGACACTGGGTTTGGCAATACCCACAGGCCAGTGTCCACTGTGGGACTTTCCATTTAGGGGCAGCATCTCCCAGGATTCCCTGACCGGCTCTCAGGGTAGGAACCCAGGGCCAGGCAGCTGCTGGAGTGCCCCCTAGACTCCCGCTCGGCCCGTGCCCCCGGGCCTTGGGCTGCTGGAGAAACCCTGTAGTGAGAGTCCCCAACAATCCCCATAAGACCAAGTCCCCCAGCCTCAGGGAAGTGGCCAGCCCAGTCCCACTTTCCTCCCGGCCGGAGGCTCTGGGGAGAGGCCCTGCCTTGCCCCAGCAGCCCCCTGCCCTGCCCCCTTTCCAGGACCTGGACTACCTCTCGGAAGGCCTCGAAGGCCGCTGCCAGAGTCCCGTGGCCCTTCTCTTCGATGCCCTCCTGCGCCCGGACACAGACTTCGGGGGCAACCTGGAATCCGTCCTCACCTGGAGGCAGGAGAAGCAGAGAGCCATCCCCCACGTGGTCCTGGGCCGGAACCTCCCGGGCGGGGCCTGGCATGTGAGTGGCCGGGCGGGCTGAGCTGCTGCGGGGCTGGGGCCACTCCCTCCCTGTCCTCCTCACTACTTCTCGTCCCCTTCCCCCACGTCCCTCTCCTCCTCCCCAGCGGGTCGGCCTGCGAGGCCCGGGCCTAAAGACCCCTCTCCACACAGTCCATCGAAGGCTCCATGGTGACCCTGAGTCAAGGCCAGTGGATGGGGCTTCCTGACCTGCAGGTCAAGGACTGGCTGCAGAAGAAGCGCAGGTGGGCAGCCCGCAGTGCCCGGGCGGGGACCCGAGGCCAGGAGCAGGGAAGGGTGGCGGAGACCCCGAAAAGAGGAGTGGGTAGTGGGTCTGGGCTCCCCGACCCCCCGTGTCCTGGGTCCTGATGCAAGACCCCCGACCTGCGTCCCGACCTGCGTCCCGTGGCGGCCGGCCTCGAGGGTGCCCGGGCCCTGCCCTCACCTCTGCCCCTCCTCACCCAGCCCAGCCTGGCACCCCAGGTCAGCTGTGGGAGAGACTCCTCCTAAATGACAGCCTTGGGAGCGTCACCACCCCACAGGATGTTTAGATGGAGAAAAGGGACCCCCAGTCCCACCCCTCCACCAGGCCTGTCCCACCTGGAAGGGGGTCTCTTCCCCCATCTGGTTTCCTGCTCCGTCCTGACCCCACGGCCCTCCGGCCACCCTGGCGTAGCAGGGGAATCGTGGAACAAACACGTCCTGGCCCTGAAGCTGCTGCAGGGTCCCACGGGGTGGGGTCCACCCTGCAGGTGGGGCTGCCTCCTCTCCCCAGGCTGCGGGGGGCATCTCCTGCCCAGCAGGCCCGGAGGCATGGACTCCACCCTGCAGGGTCAGGAGGACAGTAGTGAGGTGGAGGGAGCTTAAGGCCCACCTGCAGACACGCCCTTTAGGTCCCACTTTCGAAGTCAGCATCGTGTGGTGAGAATTCCACAGGGAGGACCCAGTGGCGCAGCGCCCCTCACCAGGAGCCCGCGGAACCCCAACCCGCTCGCCCCTCCCTAGTCATGCTGCCACGGCCACCAACACACGGCCTGCCACGGAGCGTTGACTCTGTCCAGTGTGCTGCCAAAGCCCCGCTGAGAGCAACCTGGACAGGTCTCCGTCACAGAGAGGAGGGCGAGAGGGAGGAAGTCAGTCCCAGGCTTCAAGTCTCGGGGCAGCCAGGCGGGCTGCGCTGGCTCCGTGGCCTGGGGGTGGTCAGTCCCTGCCACGCTGGTGGCACTTAGCCAGTCAGGTCCAGATTCAGGTCATCCTCAGCCAGAGGTCCATGAGCTGGGTAGATGACGCCACCTAAAGTCAGGCAGCAGGGACACCAAGGCCAGGGGCCACGCTTGCCCCACAGCCTCTGCTCCAGGAAAGGGGACAGGCTCCAGGAGCAAGGAAGATGTGAAGCTGCCCTGGCTCCTCCAGAGGGGGGTGGGTCGCTTTTAAACTGAGACGGCCTCCCCAGGAGCGCCCAGCTCACCCAGCACGGCTGCGCAGGCCCCAGCAGCCCCACAGAGCCCTCCCCGGAGCCCCGCGTCCAGGGGCAACCCACTCCTGGCCGCCAGCTGTGCAGAGCCGCCTGCCTGCCCCTGAGCTTCGCGGTGCCCGGCCGAAGCACGCTTCCAGGGAACACCATCATCCCCTGGGGTCCTGGTGGAGGCCAGCCGGTTGGCTCTAGGCTCTTGGTTTATCAGGTCCTGTGGCTACGGTCACTCTTGTTTCGCGAGAGGACACTGAGGCACAGGTGTTTCTGGCACACTAAGCAGCACCAGAGCCAGCACCAGGACCCAGGCAGCTGGCTCTGGAGGCCCCAGCCCCACCAGGTGCCCCTGCAGCTGTGCTTCACAGAAGGGGACACTGAGGCTTCCGGAGGCTAAATCGCCCCGCCCAGCCCTACGGCGGGTGAGTGGCACAGCCGCCGCCAGCTCCAGGGCCTGACACCACCATGCTGGTCACACCCTGCCCACCCTGGACGGCAGTCCCTGCTCTGACACCTGCCCCACGTCCTCCCACAGGGGTCTTCGCAACAGCCGAGCTACAGCTGGGGACATTGCCCGCTACTACAGGGACTATGTGGTCAAGAAGGGGCTGAGCCACAACTTCATTTCTGGTGCCGTGGTCACGAGTGTGCAGTGGGGGGCCCCTGAGCCCAGTGTCCCCGGGGCCCCGGGCCCGAGCCCCCTGTTCCAGGTGAGCGGCTTCCTGACCACCAAGGACCAGAGCCAGCGGCCCTTCTCGCTGTGGACTCACAACGTGGTCCTGGCCACGGGCACGTTTGACAGCCCGGCCCGGCTGGGCATCCCCGGGGAGGACCTGCCCTTTGTGCATCACGACCTGTCAGCCCTGGAGGCGGCCACGCGGAAGGGGGTCGTGACCCCGGCCTCGGACCCGGTCCTCATCGTGGGCGCGGGGCTGTCCGCCGCCGACGCCGTGCTCTTTGCCCGCCACTACAACATCCCCGTAGTCCACGCCTTCCGGCGGCCGGTGGACGACCCTGGCCTGGTGTTCAACCAGCTGCCCAAGATGCTGTACCCCGAGTACCACAAGGTGCACCAGATGATGCGGGAGCAGTCCTTCCTGTCGCCCAGCCCCTACCAGGGCTACCGCAGCCTCCCGGAGCACCGGCCCCTGCTCTTCAAGGAGGACAGCCAGGCCGTGTTCCAGGATGCGCAGGGCGGCCAGCAGGTGTTCGCAGTCTCCCTGGTGCTGGTCCTCATTGGCTCACACCCTGACCTCTCCTTCCTCCCTGGGGCGGGCGCTGACCTTGCCATGGACCCCGAGCAGCCGCTGAGCGCCAAGAGGAACCCCATCGACGTGGACCCCTTCACCTACCAGAGCACCCGCCAGGAGGGCCTGTACGCAGTGGGACCACTGGCCGGGGACAACTTTGTGCGCTTTGTGCAGGGCGGGGCCCTGGCGGTGGCCAGCTCCCTGCTAAGGAAGGAGACGAGGAAGCCACCCTAGTGCCACTGAGTCCTGGCACCCAGGCCCTGAGGAGGAGGGACATCCCCACAGCCTTGCCGGCAGCAGGGCCCACTGAAGACGCGGCGCGAGGGCCTCTCCTGGCCACAGACAGAAGGCCCGGGAGGAGCGGGCCGTACCTGCTGCCCACATGCAGACCAAGGCCCAAGGCAGGAGGGGGCCACAGGCCAGAGTAGGCCTGGGCCCGGGACCTGGTGTGAGCTGGGCTCACCAGGGCCAGCTGAACACCCAGCCAGGAAGAGTGCAGGTCCTGTTCCTTCCAGAATCAAGTCACAAATAAAACCAGTGTCTGCCTCCACTCCCACACCCAAGACTCTGTGCCTGGGGGCAGGGTAACCAGGGTTGCTTATGGCTGGGGGTGGGGTGAGGCAGCTGAGCAGGCCCACAGAGGGCAGGCACAGGGGTGTGCTCTGGGAGGGAAGGACAGGGACCCCCTGTCACCCCTGCAGCCTGGCCACCCCTCCCCCTGTCTGTTCTAGTCACAGTTCCTTCCAGCCATTCACACTCACCTGACTCTATTTGCTTCTGCCTGCCTGCCACAGAGCCTTTGCACAGGCTCCTATCTAGCCGGAGGCAACTTCCCTCCTCCTTTAAATCTCTCAGAATAAGAATCAACTTGCTCTAGGGGCTGTGGTTGTGGCTCAGCAGTAGAGCGCCCTGGGTTCAATTCCCAGCACCACATAAAAATATTGTGTCCAACTACAACTAAAAGGAAAAAAAAAAAAGAGAATCACTTGCTCTAGTGTGGCAGTGGCACAGGCCCCTAATCCCACACCTGGGGAGCTACCGCAGAACGGCAAGTTCACCCTGCTAGCTAGCCTTGGCAAGACCCTTTCTCCAGACAGAAAAAGCCAAAAGGCTGGGGATGCTGTGCAGAAGTTGGGCACCTCTGGGTCGGAGCCCAGTACCAGCCCTTAGGAAGGCTCTCTGACAGGATGGGCCTGGCCACGGTCAGGACAAACCCTGCTCTGGGCCCGAGCAGACCGTTTTAATTCTCGCTTAATCTGTGGGATCCAAGTGTCTGGCTCCACACTTGGATGTGAGCTCCAGGCGGCCAAGCCCGGGGTCTCCCTTGTCCACGACTAGAACCCAGTGCCCAGCATCCGGCCTGGCACCTAGTGGGTTTTCCTTAACTGATCCTTAGATGGACAGAGAGACGACGCAGGGACCGAACCGGGAGGAAGGCGTTTGGGGCCAAGGCTGATGGGGCGCGATGTCGCACAGGGCAGGTCTGGGGCCGCGCCAGCAGCCGAGTGTGGGCGGCGCGGGGTGCAGGGGAGCCCGGGCGCGTGGGCGCCGCGTCCTGG